TCCTCTCCTGAACAATTGAAAGATCACACGCTAACGGACTGTGCTTTCTCTTTTCCTTGCCTTGTAATTAAGGCATTTTAATCTATTTCCTCATAGTTGTTACAAGAGCAAACTATTAAGATTCACAGATTGAGAAAACTTTGACTCCTATGATTATATAAACATGTATGATATGAATTTTTCCTAATCATGGACTAGAAAAAAAATAACAACAAAACTCCTTCAGATACAATGATTACTCTCTGGAAGGTTAAACTGAAATGGGGTGTCTTGTGTTGCTTTAATATATATGAAATATCTATAAAAATAGAAAAATACAATATATTTGGTTAACTATTCTTTACTACTGATAGGACAAATGATAAATTCATATTAAGAAAACATTTTCTCCAAACCAAGATATATTTTAAGGGTTTGAAACCTTTAGACTTTTTTATGTTGTTGCTTACAGATAAAAATACTGAGTGGCTCTCTAAAGATAATGAAGTAAACAGACTTTAAATCACAGAAGAATTAAGATTTTAATCTACAACTACACTTTTTTTCTTTGCAAATATACATCTAGATACACATTTAGTTTAATATTTCTCAATTTGGGAAACTATGTTTGCAATGCTATTGCAAACAATGATAAACAAAACAAAATATAAGACAAATGCTTTAAAATTCATAAAATGCAGGACTAAAATTATATATTTGCAATCTTTTTAAATAAAAAAGTGCTACTGAGGAGGCTATATACTTTTTGGAACACAAAGAGGTATGCTAATACATTTGTCATATTTTGAATAAATGTGCACAATTTCTTAGTCCTTTTCTATATTAGAAGATACCAGTTTACCACTGGGTTAAAATATTCTAATTGAATTTGATGTTGGACAATAAATGACTTTTTGGATAAATTTTGGAGATTTAAAAAGATATTTTTAGATTATACCTTATGGTGTTAAAAATATTTGACAGGAAGGAAGTACATACAGTGGGCTAAAGATACTTTATTCAATAAATGGTTTGGGGAAAATTGGACAGATACGTACGTACAGAAGAAATGAAACAAAACCACCTTTTTACATCACATACAAGAATACATTGAAAATGGATTAAAGACTTAAATCTTAGACCTGAAACCATAAATATCCTAGAAGAAAACATAGGCAGTAAAATCTTGGGCAATGCTTATAGCAATATATTTTCTGATATATCTCCTCAGGCAAGGGAAACAAAAAAAAAATAAACAAATGGGACTGCGTCAAACTAGAAAGTTATTTCACATCAAAGAAAATCATCAACAAAATAAAAAGACAACCACAAAATGCGAGAACATAGTTGCTGATTCATTTGATCAGGGGTTAATATCTAAAATTCATAAAAAACTTATAAAACAAAAAAACCCAAACTCAATTAAAAAATGGGCAAAGGACATGAATAGACACTTCTCTAAAGAGGACATACAGATGGCCAATAGTCATATGAAAAGATGCCTATGTCACTAATCATCAGAGAAATGCAAATTAAAACCACAATGCTATACTACCTCACAATGGTCAGAATGGCTATCATCAATAAATCAACAAACAACAAGTGCTGGCAAGCATGCAGAGAAAGGGGAACCCTTTTGTACTGCTGGCGGGAATGCAGATGGGTGCAGCCACTGTGGAAAGCAGTATGGAGTTATTGCAAAAAATTAAAAATGGAACTGCCTTATGACCTAGCTATTCCACTTCTGGGAATTTATTCAAAGAAACCCAAAATACCGATTCAAAAGAATATAAGCACTCCTATGTTCATTGGAGTGTTCTTTACAATTGCTAAGATTTGGAAGTAGCCCAAGTGTCCATCAGTAGATGAGTGGATGAAACAACTATAGGACATTTATGCAATGAAATACTACTTGGCCGTAAAAAAGAAATTTTTACCTTTTGCAACAGTATGGATGGACCCATTATGTTAAGTGAAATAAGTGAGTCAGAGAAAGACAGATGCCATATGATTTTATTCATATGTGGAACCTAATGAACAAAGTGAACTGACAAGCACTATAGAGACAGACTCATAGATGGAGGGCAGGATGACAGCTCTGGGGGCGGGGGGAAGGGAGGTAGGTATCCAGCAAAAAAGTAAAGGGGCTCATGGACACGGGCGACAGTTGGTGATTGCAGAGGGGGATCAGGGGAATAAACGGTAATTAAAAATACAATTAAAATAAATTATAGAATAAAAAAATTGGAAGCAAGAAAATATCAGAGAGGATAAGATGTTATAATTTTATACTAAAAACAATACTTTAGATAAGATTAATATAATAGTGTCCCTTACTTTTTAGGTTTTTATTACAAAAAATCTTAAATGTATAAATATTAGAGAATTCCCACAAAACATTTATCTTGGAGATTCTATATCCTTCTTTTAAATTTCTCTCTCTCAACTCAAGTGTTTACTTTGCTGACACATTTTAAAAGAAACCCGAGGCCCCAAGCCACTTCACCTCTCCCTATTCTCAAATGTATCACTTTAAAAAGTGGACATTTTCCTAAATAACTACAATACCTGTTCATGCCTAACAAAATCAATAGTGATTTTTTGATGTAAAGAATTCACACTGATCCATGTTCGACTTTCAATGACTGTCTCAAAAATTTTTTTTTCTAGTCCATTTAATGGAATTAAGAGTGTGACAAGGTCAACTGCATTCAGTTATGATGTCTCAAGTTTTTCTTTTGTAGGACAGTTCCTCCCTTTCTCCTTTATTTTCATGCCTTTGCTCTGTTGAAGAAACTGTTCTGCCTTCTTTCAAAATAAACTTGGGACATCCCTGTTGAAGTAAGTGCAATACTCGGTTGCAAACTAAACCTCCCAAGTGTTCAAATTTATGTTTTGGCCATAGAGGGGCAAAGGGGAAAAACCTGAGACATTTCTGCCTCTTCAGTGATGTGCGTAACTTGCAAGAAACCCTTAAGCAATTCTGCCCTTCATTCTAAAGAGTCTAAAACTGTAATAACCATTCATAAGATTTGTTTTATAACATAACTTTGATATATTGGCAGCTTGTTATACAGCTTTTATTTAATAGTGTTAATATATTTACATATAAACTAAAGAATATCAAGTAAGCAAATAATGTTGACTAGCTTCAAGTTTTTATACTTTTTAAAGAATGTATAAAGAAATAATTGTTTTATAATCAATCTGGGAAAGAAATACAAGCTGGCATGTCTCTGAACTTCTGTTTTCATCCTTTTAAAACAGGATCACTGACCCAGACAGGCAGGTTTTCATTTAATTTGTGTAAAGCTTAAATATTCAGTTGAGTTACTAGTACAGTAAACCAGTTGATGGCTCTATCTTTTAAAATCCTATGTTGTACTTTTTAAGGAGAGATGCATAGAAAATTTAGGGGATTACAAAATATGAATGAAAATTACAAGTGTTAGAAAAGAGAAAATTAAACTTTTAGTATATTTCCATTGTATTAGTACTAAAGAAAAATGCAAATGAACACATATAAGATTGGTTCACTCTCTCCTTGCAACAGCTTTAGCTAATAAAGCTTCAAGAAGATCAGTGATGTACAGTTTTTGAAAATCCAAAATATCAATGACTTTAAATGGAACCACATGAAGTGAATGACAGTAAAGGGATCGTAGATAAAATTACTGAACTCCAATGAAATAAATTCAAAATGAAAAGGATGAAGGGCAATTAAGTACCTATTTTGACAATCTGAAGTGGTCAAGTTTTTAAAAGTATGACACAGGAACCTTAACCTATCTATATATGAGTGATAAATGAGGCATTTTGTGTCATTACATTCCCATAAATCATTTTCTTTAACTGCTGACGGCTTTTTATCAGATCTAACCTTTTCAAGCTTCTATTAGAGTGCTAACATTTTCAACTTTGACACATGTGCAGTTTACAAATTCTGCAGCTGATTAACTCTGGACAGAAGCTCACTGGCATCGTTGTGTTCAAGTTGGGTGAAAGCCTTAGGGTCTCACAAACTCAGACACTTACATTACAATACAAAAAATCTCAGTCGCTGTAAGGGGTTGGAATTTATGGTTGCTAGGCAATTGCTTTCTGTTGGAAGACAAACATGAATAAGACTTCATTTTACATGAAACAGGTGATTTAGGAAATAGTAAGAAATAAAACAGAAGAAAGAGAAAGAAAAACCTGATAGTAAAGGTTAACTTCTAATCAAGTACTTTTTTATGTTTTGCTTTAAAATTATTTATTTTGGTAATCAAATATTTTTCAGAACATAATTGCTAAACTTCTGTTTTGATGTAATCAAAACAAAGAGAAACCAAGATTAATACATTCATGGGGTCAGGGATTATGACCCCAAATAAAATATAATTTAAGTGGGACAGTAATAGCCATGAAACCATTTTAAAGTAGATTTTATGGAGAGATATTGAATCTCATTATAATATATAGCTTAACTCTCCTATAAATTCCAACATTTTAAGTGACAAGTGGCTTTGGATAATTCAACCAATCAATTCAGTTGAAAAAAAAAACCAAGAACTTCTCTTATTTCTTCTTTTCAAACAGTTGCATTGAAATTATAAAAACAAAACACATAAAAAGTAATTCAGTTTCTGTGAAGCTACACTATTTTTTTATTTTACTTATTTATCTTTAGAGGGGAAAGAGAGAGGGAGAGAAATATCAATGTATGGTTGCCTCTCATGTGTCCCCTGCTGGGAACTGGCCTGCAACCCAGGCATGTGCCCTGACTGGGAACTGAACCACAGTCCTCTGGTTTGCAGGCCCATGCTCAATCCACTGAGCTACACCAGCCAGTATTTTTTTTAATTTAATTTATTTTAATTGTTGTTCAAGTACAGTTTTCTGTCTTTTACTCCCAACCCAGCCCACTCCCCAGTGCTCCCCACCTCCCTCCCATTTCCACCCCCCTTAGTTCTTGTCTAAGTCCTTCACACTTGTTCCTATAAACCCTTCCCCCTTTTCCCCTGAAGTTCCCTCCCCTCTACCCTCTGGTCCCTGTCAGCCTGCTCTCTATCTCAGTGTCTTTGGTTATATTCTGTTTGCTTGTTTGTTTTGTTGTTTAGGTTCTTGTTAAAGGTGAGATCATATGGTATTTATCTTTCACTGCCTAGCCAGCATAATGTGAAGTGATACAAATTATTAAATTACAACTCATCATAGAATGTCTTTTATACATAAATAAGAATATACTACTTACTACCAACATGAAATATCCAAAACATTTATCACACGAAACTTTAAAACTAACAAATATTTGTTTATTGATAATGTAGAAGGAAATAAGGTAAATAGTTGTAAGTTGAAATCTTCTACATTGTGGATAACAGGAAATCAAGACTTCACAATATTTTTAATTTTCATGGTCCTAATTTCTTAGTAGAAGAGTCAAATATCAATACAAGAGTTGAACTTGACAGTTCCAAGGATTTTGATGATTATCACAAAACCACGTGGGTAGATACTATGTGTATGTTAGTTTACTTACATAAAATGCACATATATAAATACATTTGAATAGATGTGAGTTTGTGAGGACAAGGATATCAAAAAACTTATTTAGAAAATATAATTGACACAGACCTTGACATGAAGCTAATGTTTATTAAAAATACTGTCTTTGACAGTAATAACAAAAGAGAACAAATCTTGATACTACTGGCTGTTTGACCACCAGAAGTCCACTGCTTCAAATAGTATTAGTTTTGATAAGAACTACTGGCCATCAAACTTACATAATAAAACCTAAAGAGACAGACTAAAGGCACTAAAGTAAAATGTTTACAAGGGAACCTCCTGCAGCAGATCATCTCTTGTTGATAAATGAAAAATCTTAGAAAAATAGTGGGGGAAGGACTTTTTCTAGCATCACAACCTATACAGTCTCATCAAATCACCATCACAGAATTCTAAGGCCTACCAAAGACAAATTAAATACTTCTTTATTTCACTAATAATGTCACTCATCACAGGCCCTGGGCAGTTACACTTTGACAATTCAGATGTAAATCCTGGGTTGCCTATGAGTATTCATGACAAAGGCATATTTATCATTTAAAACAAAAGGACATGACTTCTTGGTGTTCATATCAAAGCCCAGTGATGGATGAGGCTGTGCTAATCAAAAGAAAGACTAGAAAGAACACAGATGGTTGCTACTTGGATTAAGAAATGACTATTGCCTCTGCTAAAACTTCCCCAATATGCTTATTTGAAACTGTTTTAAATGTGTAATTTTACATAGATATCTAAAAGTTAAATATCCCCAACTATGGTTGTTATTATATAAGAAACATCAGGGGGTGTTTCTCAACTTCAAATTATAGAATCAAAATTCTTGAAACCAAGATAAGGTCGAACTAGCAGAGGGTAATAGTTCCTCAGATGTAACTCATAGAAGGAGTTCCACATTTGGTGTTCTCTTTCTCAATTATTATTCAATCTAGAAAATACAGAGAATGAAAGCCTACCATTCCACACTTTTACAAATAGCAAAACTGTGAGCTAAAATCAACATTAGTAACTATATATAGGGTGAGCAAGATTTAAGACATTTTTACCGCTTTTGTTTCTGACCTCTGTGCCTTTGATTTTCATCTCAACTGCTTTTCAAGTTGAAAGGCATTTAAAAATAGTTGTCTATATTGTAAAGTTTCTTTAAAACGTTAAATACAATGAATTCTGGTGATTTTAGCATTTGTCACTATTCTGGCTGAGAGAGACCAAAAATAAGTGCGGCATTAAAAAGACAAAGGTATTTACAGCTGGATCTATTGATAGCACTTCCTCCCATTTCACTGATGAGGAGCTATCATCAGGGCTGGCTAATAGAAATCCAATTTACAAGGCTCTGCTCATTGGAGTGCCTTTCAAGATGCACAGGATTGGTTACCCTTCAGACCTGCAAACAAATGTCTGCTCTTCCAGGGCAGAAGTATTTCAACATTGGTTTCTGGGAGGTGATCTTTGCAAGGTCACCTTGAAGAAGTGTGATGATGGGGGCGGGGTGAGGAAAGCCTACTGTGTAACTGATCTGTTTCCTGCCAGTTTTCCCTGCTGCTCTTCAACTCCAGTGAAGCACACTTGTTGATAAGTTTTTAATAGAGTGGTATGTGTCAAAAACAAAACAAAACAATATGAAGCCATATATGGGAGGGAGAAATTACTTATGCATTAACAGAATGTTAGGATAGTTTTGGGTCACCAGGTGAGCTAGGCTGGCAGCTGATGTGCACACTTCCCCTCTTGATAGGATCACCTTCTTGTCGAAATGATGGGTACATCAAAATCACCGTGATCTCTCTTTGTACCTATATCTTTTGTGCTTCTTGTGTGGAAAACCTATACGGTATGAAATTGTCACTGGCGTTAGGCCTGCAAGGACATTCTGTTTACACCACTGAGGCGCATCTATACTTATCAGAGTTTACTTGTCACTAACGTAACCATTACATGCCCCACTTAAAATATATACCTGCTTCTCTCAGAGGGAATTAAAAGTTGAATATTTCAGAGGGCTTACCACCCGATATATTAAGTGGTGTTATAGAATAACAAAAATCTTTCACCTTTTGGCCCTTTTATGAAAAATTTACTGGGCGCCTAATATATTTAATATTCAGTAGCATGTGAGAATAATTTTTATGCAACTCCGATAGTTAGAAAGATAGATAACTCAATTATTAGATCATCTATCAAAATATTCAGATGTATAAGAGGCTACTAAAAAGATTGATGACTGAGAAAGTCCACTGATTCTCTAGCCATCATATTCATGCATTTGGCCAGACAACATTTTTTGCTGCCTTCACAAGCAAGCTTCATTACCCATCACCCCACTGAAAAGAGTTTATTATGAGGCTGCCATCTTGGCAAGACTATTATTTAGATGATAAATGCTGAGGGGAAAAAAGTGTCTACTTTTTTTTTAAGGAAAAAGATGAGCTTTTCTGACAGATAAAACAAACAGCATCTACATTTCTAATTAACTTAAATTTGGCAGATACAAATATAGGTCAGTTAAACCTATGATGTTATCCTCTGTCTGAATTTTACCCTTAATTTGTAAAATGTAAATTAACTAATTAGAAGAAAAACAGGATGATATGTGACAAAATGCTTCAGCTGGGTCTTTGCTTCCTGACATTTATGATCAACTATAATAAATTATTGCCTTTTTAAATAATTGATAGAATACATGTATTTCTTTTCTCACCACAATGAAAGAAATTTTAGCAAGAATTTATAAAAGGAGGCCAGGAACTTAGAAGAAGAACAGAACTCTGTGGTGCACTTTCTGAGAAAAAAATGTATATGAAAATGCCATAATGTTAGAAGTAATTGGGTTAATTTATGCCTGTGTACCTAGGGCACATTTAAAGGAAAAGTATGTAGACATGAAGTCACTGGTAAACCCAGTAAAAACATTATCAGGACCTAACCCTTCCCCTGTCATTTCAAATGCATCTGCTGTGTACTCAAGCAATTAGTGACAACAGTGCGTGTGTGGGTGTACATGAGCGCCTGGATGCTATGGGGGAGGGGTTTACAACGTTACGTTGGGAACAAGAAAAGAATTTGACCACTTGAGTTTCAGCGAGAAAACCTGTCACTGTTCAGTAAAATTAATCCATGTAATAGTTAAGTGAAAAGAGGTTTTCAGCTATTCCTATGTAGATAAAGATAGGACACTGAGAAGTACATTTGTAATGTCGGATACATGCATCAGTTAAACATTCCTGAAAGGTGAGGCCTGTGGGGGTGGCCATGCGGTGGCACACGGGAGTGTGTGTGACCAGGCCCCGGGCAGGCAGGGCAGGATCGGGCTGTCAGTTTTCATAGCACACAAACTCAGAGGTCTAATCAGAATGAGGAATACCAGGAAATTGGAGCTGAAGCCTTGTGGCAACTGAGACAGGAGCTGAATGTGCTCTGTACTGAGGATCGGTTTCCAGGGACAGTACATCATTTGAAAAAGTGGCAAAAATAGAAAGAGAAACAATTCAGACAAAGGTGTATGAAGTCCGGAATTCTACTGGAAAGTTCAAAGGTAATGTAAAATAGGTGAATATTTAAAACAATTAAGTACATCAAGATTTCACTCCTAATTTTAGATATTTCACTAAAATACTTTTCTTGGATAAAATATCTTAATTTAGCAGAGAGTTATCACTCTCAGAAATGACACGATTGAAATACATGAATACTCCTTTTTCCAATATTATGACAAATACATAAAAGTTTCTAGGTTTTGCAAAGTGTAATCTTGGTGCTTGAGGACATATTACACTTACTTTATATTTTCTAGTCGTGGAGACAGCAAGAAACATCTTATTGAATAGCTGCTCCTGATGAATAAGTATTTAGCTTATTACTTTTATATTTTAGAAGCTCATTAAGACTAAACATTTTTCTTTGCATCTCTACGTCACCATGATATTACAGTAAGAAACAATATGGGTAACTAGTCGAAGTTCCACTTCACAGTATATAAATCTAACACAGAATATATTTATACATGACGAAAAATTCTCTTGACAGCTGTCTGGCCTCCACCTAACTCTTCAACTTTTCAACACTTGATATACCTCTGAAGCAGTGATTTCAAAAGATTTACCTTTATGGACACTAACTTCACACTTTAGAAGTAATTTTCAAACTTCGAACTCCAAAGAACTGATTTCTATGAGAAAGCTAATGACTGTAAAACAGCATCAAGACCTCCTTGCCTGTTTATTTTTTCTCTTTCAAGCTTTAATAATCATCATTTATACTTATCATTTTGAAAAATGAATTTAATTTCTTTAATTAAAAGCCTTAATAGTTCCAAGTAATGTCTCAGCAATCATTTATGTTCATGTAAAATTTTAAATATTTCTGTACTGAAGGCAGTGTGTTCCATGTTTGCGTGTGCTTGCCTGTGAAGTGACAGAAAGGAAAAGAGCATAATGCAATGAGTGTCGGGTAGTCTGACCGCACCAAAGTCCCTCCCTACTGCAGGGAGGTCAGATCCTCTCGGCACTGTACTGCTGTGTCAAGATACATCAACAGACTATCACATGGCAGGAAGAAGAATGGCCTTTAAATTCTTTATGTTTGGGCTGCTGATAGAGCCTTGGATGTGGGGGTAGGCATGAATGGTTTTCCAAAATGCTTGACAAAGGCAATTCCCAAGGTTTCTTTCCAGTGCGATTGTTAAAAGCCCTGGGTTCCTACATTTTGGTACAACTTTCTAAATCCTTGTAATTCATTATGGGAACTAATGTTAGATTAACAACTATCAATACTTCAAATAATCAGATTCAACACAACTAGACTAAAATTACTTTATAAATGTTTAAATGTGAGAGATACAGGTTGGGAGGCAGTCAATTTAGAAATAGTTTTATTCATTCTAATAACAACACTTATTGTTAATCAATTCTTTGAACCTCATTATAGCTGTCATATCACAGTTGTCTTCTTTCTTTTCCTGTCCATAAAAATAGGCATTTCTCTACTTTTACCATCTATGAAAACTCACTTTGCTTATTTCTACTGAGGATAAACCCGAACTCAATCTGTGTTCCACCACTTGGACTTCTATCACATAACCCAGTAGTGCTTGGACATGTTGGAACATGGCAACTAAAGTTATTACTAACCTACATCAGTTTCTACTCTCAGTCCTTAGCATCACCAATAGCATCATTATTCTTCCCATCGCCAAGATCAAAACCTCAAAGTCGGCTTTGTTCCACACCTATCACATTGAGATGCTTACCAGGTTCTGTAAATCCTGTCTTTGTTATCTGTCTAAGTCTATACAGTCTCCTTCCTTTTCCACCACCAGTGCTATCACTTATGAATTAATGGATTACTTCAATATGGACAACTGTGTTAGCAATGATGGTCCTATCCCCAACTTCCTGTTTCCGTCCCCTCTAAGCACTGCTACCAGAATATTCATTCAAAAGTTAGGTTTTGATTGTGCCACTCTTTTATTGAAGAATCTCTCCTGGCTTTCCAGCTCTGTGACCTTAACCTGAGCATGTAACATTACTATGGCTTTCTCATATGAAATGAGGATGAGATACTACTATCTACCTCATAAGAGTGTTATGTGGATCAAAAAGGATAATACGTGTCCTTAAACCAGTGCACTGGACATAGTGGGTGCTCTGTGTTAGTTAGGTCTGTAATCTATGGAAAAGTGTTGTTTCCTACTAGATTGAACTGAATTTCTGGAAGGCAAAGTTGGATTTCGTTCATTTCTGTATGCTCTGAAATGCATAATATGCTGCCTCTACCTAGAAGCAACTAAATATCTACCGAATGTAGTCATATATCTGTGTGACTCCTAATGGACCACTTTGCTAGATGTGTTGAATTAGGGATATGTAGCAGTAAAAATATTTGTTTCACATTAAAACAATGAAAGACAATAGGAATGATGAAACACTGGGGGCTAGTGATGAGTTCAATATGATATTGCACACAACCAATGACTTCATTTTCACCACTATCATAATCAATACAGAGTGCTCTGAAAATACTATAGCTGAAGATATCAAGGATGACGGTGATGAGCCTTATTAATTAAAAACATCCCCTTTAATTAATAAAGGAAGTTTGCATAATTTTGAATTTATGATAGTTCGAAATGAGCTGTTAGAGATGCCAGAGGACTGAATTTAAAAGTGAGAGGTAGTGGAACTTCCGGCCAAGATGGAGGCATAGATAGACACACTGTTCTTCCTTGCACAACCAAAAGAAGGACAACAATTTAAAAACAAAACACAACCAGAACTGACAAAAAAATCAAACTGCATGGAAGTCCGACAACCAAGGAGTTAAAGAAGAAACATTCACCCAGACCAATAGAAGGTGCGGAGACCAGGAGCTGGGCAGAGAGCACCTGCAGCAAAGCAGAGGTGGAGGCCCGAGGCAGGCAAGGCTGCAGCTGGCAGACCTGCTGAGGCGGTGGCTGGTGGAGTGGGCAGTCCCACATTTACGCACAGTGAGAGGAACACCTGGGGAGTGAGGAAGACCACACAACCCATGGCCCCAGTGAGGAGAAATAAAGCCTCACACCACTGACTGAAAACACCTGTGGGGGTTGAGGTGCCAGGAAAAACTCCCAGCCCCACAGAAAAGTCCACTGGAGAGACCCCACATTTTCTTGTGGGAAGCGGGAGATGTGACCGAAATCCGGCAAAGAGCACAGCAAGTGCCATTGTTCCCTCTTGGACCCCTTCCCCACATACAGTGTTGCAATGTTGCCACGTGGGTTGCCCCACCCTGGTGAACATTGCCCCTTACTACTAACAGGCAGGTCAAGACAAAAAAAAAATGGCCCAAAT